AGCCTTCATGATATTTGCATTCCTTGAAGGCTGGATTTTATATAACACAAGCTTCATAATTGTTTAAAAATACATTCAATGTTAAGTCATTCTTTACTGCCTAATGTAAGTAAAAGAATATTATTTTCAGGTTTTTGAATGTTCAGGAATTATCTTGAAATTTTAAGAATATAGTTGCTGTTGCTTATTCTTCGTACATTTTTTAATCATTCCGTAAGCTGCATCCTATTAATTCTACTCCATGGCAGAGCCCTTGCTGACTGGTCAGTTTTCTAGTTTTTATAATCTTTATACTTTATACTGTTGATAATGTTAAGAAAGTACAGATGCATGCATCTGTAAAATCATAACAGTACATCTTATCCACAATGTGCATGTTTGCAATATTCAGAGTGTCTGTTTTAAAAATAGTGACCTGCTATTCATTGAATATTTTTGTGAATATGTTAAAAGCTGTCAAGGAACCTCTGTCATTCTATATTCCATGTGATTCCTGGTGTATTTTGTCACAAATACAAATAATAATTTTGTAGTTATTTTAGAATGTAATTTCAATTTGTATATTTATCTTTGAAATAATTATTGTGCACTTCTCATGTTTCTAGAGTTTATTTTATTGAAAATAAATGGTTGATTATTTTTTATTCATTATGCATCTTTTCTTCCCTTTCTCTCTTTGGTTATCATGCTGGTAGGATAATAAGTCAGTAATTGTTTCAACAGTCATATGTAATAAGTAAGAATTACAGTATATTTAATGATTCAATTTATTTTCAACATATTTAAAAAACATTTTAAGAAGAGCTCTTACAAAAAGAAGAGAAATTCGTAATATATCAGTAGACTGAAAGTGTTGAGATATCACAGGATGAAAAGCCGGGTTTCCCAAATTTGGAAACCCGATGGAAACATATGGGAATCGTGACATCAGTAGTTTCCATATAGTTTCCATTTTATGGAAACCACATAGTGGTTTCCACATAGATTCCCGACATGGAAACAATCAACCTGTGGTTTCCCGTAAGTTTCCCAAGATAGGAAACCATGGAAACATACCCCGGTGGTTTCCACATAGATTCCCGACATGGAAACAATCAACCTGTGGTTTCCCGTAAGTTTCCCAAGATAGAAAACCATGGAAACGCGCCCCGGTGGTTTCCTTGTAGATTCCCGATATGGAAACAACCAACCTGTGGTTTCCCATAAGTTTCCCAAGATAGGAAACCATGTAAACATGCCTCAGTGGTTTCCATACAGATTCCCGACATGGAAGCCACCAATGTGTAGTTTTCCCCATGTTTCCCAGGCAGGGAAACTTTGAAAGTATATATCAATACTTACCCACCTACCTTTTATTTACAAAAAGTTAAATATTTAATTATATTTTACCATATTTTTACCAATTATAGAAATATTTCAAAAGTATTTACGTGCTGAATCAAAATAATTAACTTCAAACAGTTAAAATAACTAGATGTGTATTTCTGTGTGATTAATTTAATATTTCAGCACCGTGAACGCAATTCAATTTTAATTTTAATTTATTTTACTGAATTTTATTTAATTTAATTTTGAATTTGATTTATCACATAAGTTTTGGTAAACTCGTATAGAATGAATGAAGTGGAATAGAAAAAAGTAAGTGCATGCAGTTATGTAGAAATCAATCATTTCCGATCCCACTTTCTTGAAGCTGAAAAAATGGAAGAGCTAAGGAAGGGTACATTTAATGAAATTATTTACGGAAAAGGTTTACTAAAATGATCGATTAAAAAGTAAATAAAGAAATATGTCAAGTTACGATTACTGATTAAGGACAGATGAGACGTTCCTCAATAAAATAATTAAATTTTTTTCCAATATTTTGCAACTGACATTGAAGAATTATTTTTACAAGATTACATGTATTCACAAGACATCAAGGTACCTTACCAGGCATTTGTGTTAGATACCAGAGGTTGGCATTTCTTATATACCGGGGTAATCCGTCAGAAAAAAAATACTTCAGTTGGTTTGTCAAAATTACATCTTTAGTGTTTCAAGTTTTTAAATAAAAGTTTAGAAAGTGATAAAGATTTTGTTTTAATATGAATTAATATATTAATATAAACTGGTCAGATAAGAATCAAACATCGAATTGGCTTGGGGTTGAGTATTATCATACTAGTATTTTACTATTAATAGTGAATATTGTTTTTTTTTTTATTTATTAAATTATTTTTATTATTGGGGATGGGTGGGTTGTTTTTCATTTTTTCTTTGAGAAGCCTCCCCCCCCCCCCCGTCACTATGGTCGGCCTGTGTAATTAGGGACACCTGTCCTCACGTGCCATTTCAGGTGGAGACACGTGCCGCGAAGACACCTGTCACTGTGTATTTTTTGTATATTCTATGTGAATTGAGACGGTTTTGTACCTAAAGGGAACAATGGGCTGTTGTCAAGCATGTACACACACAGTCTCCGACCGAAAATTCTTTTAAATTAAGATGATGATTCGTGTTTCTTTTATCATTTAAAAAATTGTATATTCCATAAATAAAGTTATACAAGAGAACATATTTATAAAATAATCTACATTTAAGAAGTTAAATGAAAGAACAAACTATTTAGAATTTTTATTTCAATTTTCATTACTGATTTAAAATAAAACTATCCTCTTTAGAAATTAAATAATTTTCTATATATAGGTATTGAATAGATCTTAATTCTCGTCGTGTATAATTATATTAAATCAGAATGACGTTAATAGATCAGTGTGAAATCAAAACTGTATCTAATATTGTTGATGGGTTTTTGTGTGAAATTTGTAATCTAACGTACTACAAAGACATTTATTAGATAAATGTTTATAATATAATTCATCACATAAAACGTTTTTTTTTTCTTTCCTTTTTTTTGTTTAAATATGTACGCAGATCCCCGTGTAGTAAACGCCTGCACTTTTCGCATGAAATTACAATGTACATGTAGGGTCCTAAATGCACATACATTATATTTAACAAACTAAAAATTTTTCAGCCATTTTTTTTTCTCCAAAGGCCATTGCTCTAGATAAAGAAAAGTCTATAATATTTTGCATGATTTTGTTTTCCTTAAGAACAATGGCTTTTAAAGTAGTGCATGATAAGGCAATCTATTAAAAGAATTAATTGTATAATTAATTCATTGTATAATTGTCACGATTGTATTTTTGTGCAGTTTTTGTTGATTTCATTCTATAGAGGTATGAAGTTTGTCAATACTTCAACAAACATTTCTTTATCTATGTTGTACACTACTTTATTTTTATTCGCCGACATGCTACAGTACTCTTTAAAAAAAAAAAACAAACAATAGACTCGATCTTCAGACCTGTAGGAAAGTAATTTCCGTTAGAGTAATAACTAACCGGGATTTTATTTTTACTAGCATACCTTACCAGATTTCTTAACGAAAAAAAAAACATTAAAGAAATACAGGTCGGGACCAGCTAAAGCTGTATGCATTAGTACAGCCCTGCACATCAACGAGTTTGGATGACTTTCGACATAATATTTCCCAATCACGACTAAAATACTGAATTAAAATACTGTTATATTTTCCTGCCTTTGATAAGATGTTAGTTTTGTTTCACCTAGAGATATAACTCTCCTAAGAAAAAGGTTTTCAACATTCTGATTCATTTAACAATTTTACGAGTTAAAATGATGTGGGGAATTTTTTAGCTAAAGGCCAAGGAGTTTAAAGTACAATGTACATGTAGCAATTAGAGAAAAGTATAGCAGGTCCACCAGTAATATTGATAGCAGGCTCAAAATCTAATTAAACCCCGAAAAGGAGGGAGTTCAATTAGTAATTTAATCCCCCCCCAAAAAAAATAATTAATTAGCAATGAATTATTAATCACCGAACTTTCCAATCATTACTATTGAAATAAAAAAAACTGTTCTTGATAATCATATCATAATTGTAGCTCATTTTCATGCCTTTTAGGATTCCTGTGGAAAGTTCACAATAAAAAAAAAATGTGCTTTTAAAAATTTAACATCATTTGGTGTGACATTATAAATTCATAATCATACATGTAACAGTTAAAAGAAGCGGGGAGAGGGGGGGTTACTTTCAGCAAGGACGGCCACTAAGCCCCGAAACCCATATCCCGAAGGCAAATAAGTTGAGGTGTCAAGCAAGAAACATTTTTTTTCTGCTCTTGCCTCATGTATCTAACCGCTTTTTTTTCTAAATATACTAGGCCTACAAATAATATCGGCAAATTAAAATATTTAGGAGCCCCTCTTTTTATTCCATGGAAAGGGGGAAACTTAATTAAATTCTAATATAAGATCTCATAATCACACTTAATCATAGTGAATGTAAACAGTTTAAATATTTCCCATCCTGCATCGCTCTGTAGGCGCTTTATTTCATTGGTCAATTTCCCGAGGCGCCATTTTTGGAGGATCGAGAAGGACGAAGAAGAAGGTGTAAGCAGCTGGTAAATGTGAAAAGTTAAGATGGTTTCAACACCCAGTGTCTTTAAGACTGTGATAAATTCAATGGCCAACGATGAAGGATTAGTGTACGTATATTTTTGTTAACTTTTTCCGGTAAATAGTTGTCAATATTTGGCAACAACAAATCTTCACTATCGGAGGCAACTTTTGTTCTGACGCCATTTTGAAAAGTTGGATACCTAAGTTTTAAATTGTTAAGTGTATATATTGCAGAGAGAAAGAGAGAGAGAGAGAGAAAAAAAATTGAGACAGTGATAAAGCATAACTTAGATTATGGAGGCCCCAAAGGCACCGTGCATGTACATGCTGTATGTTGTAAAATGGCAACGTTTCGCCGTTTATCATGTTTATTAAAATGTATGCTCCATATGTATGTTCTCTCTCTATATATAAATGAATACTTTTCGGAATTAAAAAAAATATTTTTAACCCCGCTCAAATTATCCGGATGATAATAGTTACACCGAGCTTGGTTTCGTAGTTAAATTCAGACTGTATAACATCCGGTTTGAATACATGTGTTTTCACTTTTCTGACTTTTCGGATAGCCAGCTCTTGTTTTTTGGAACTTACGACTTATGGCAAGGTATAAATTAAATATTTTTGGTTCAAAACTTTGATAAAAGCATCGATATTTTTACAAAAAGTGTCTTCAATCTCAGCTTATCCGATTATGCATGAAAGATATCCTCATCAGAACAGTTGGAATAGATTGTAGCGAATAGCATAACCCTTAATCATATGCATGACGATGATATGGAGGAAAAATATACATAAAAAAGTGAATGTAGGTGAAAGCCTGTCCACTTTTCTGAAGAGATCAAGTTTGTTTTATTGTTTATTGAAATAGTTTACTGCTCAAAAGATTTTTTTTTTGTAATGTCCATACATGCCAACTTTTGAAAATTTTCGGGGAGATTGCGCGTAACGACATTTTTCGAAGTTCCTAATTCGCGGCATTTTGTCGTGAATAATTACTATTTGTAAGGTTTTTTTTTTAAATATCAATCTACTACCTTGTATCATATATTATCACTACTTCAAAAAGTGTTTTCTACTCTATCAACTTCAACAAAACCACAAATACAATATTATTTGAAATTTAAAAAAGACAGTTTTATTCAAAGCCATTTAATATGTTAAAATTATAAACTTAAGGTAAACATACCCCCTGCCTTAAAAAATGTGATACACAAATGTGTTAATATCATGTGATAATTACATGAATAAGGGTGTTAAACTTTACAAATAAGCTGAAGCAAGTTAAGTTTATGCTGCAGGTACAATGTCCCAGGTTACTGTTCATTGTTGGTAAAATACAAAGGATCATTCTCTATAAGGCCGTTTTGCGGCCTACAATGACTTCAAATTTTCAGATTGTATTTATTCCCTTAACAATTGCACGAATCACTAGCCTTATGTTCCAGTTTAATGATAAATATTGGTTGGTTAATGATACAATAGTATTTCTAAAGATTAAGGCTCACAAAGTAAGGTACTATCGGTCCGTATTAGCATTAGAGTAATGGGAAAACTCAAGAGGGTGGATGTGTTATATAACTCCAACACATGTCATAACCACCTTTAACCAACGCCAAAATTTGCATGTAAATTTCTTATAAACATAATAAGTGACTACCAAATTATGAATTTGGTTAAAGGTGGTTATGACATTTAAATAAAAACTTTTCACTTCATTTTTACGATATTTGCAGAAAAAGCTAACTACTCACAATGAAGGATATCAGCTTATGTAGAATATTTCTTTTCATAAACTTTTGCTTAGAGTACAATTTTCTATTGATTTACTAAGATTAATATCAGTCATGCATATTTACTTTAAAAAATTATAACTTTTTACTTAAAAATCTAAAAATCAAAGGACTGAGAAGACTGGATGTCATGAAATTAGAAGTGGAGACATTTCTTTGAAATGTCTGATAAAAAATTAAGAAATAAAAACTTTTTATAGGCTATAGTGAATTCATATGAATTATCTTTTATATTTATAATGATAGTTTAGTATATCTATATATGCTACTTCTTTGAATTCCGTTATGAGTACTGCATATATTCTTTGTATTTCCTTATGAGTACTGTATATGTTCTAGAAATGATGAAATCTTGGTTGATGCGGTAACATGCATTTATTATTTGTGTTCTATACTTTTTTCCTATGGGTACACACATAATTTTTATATGGACACTTCCGTATGAGTATCATGTGATCCATATTTTGTAAACTGGGTCTTAACTCTTAATATTGAGAGGACTCAGTCTTTTCATCGCACTTCTTTTATCTTCGATATAAGTTACGATAACAGTAGTCCTGTCTCAGGAAATATACTGGTAAAGAGGAGAGAGATTCCTAAACGTAATATGTGATTGATAATTGAATGTTGCTTTACCCCATTTAAGGATTTTTCAACCAAATAAAGAGATCATCCACTTAAGGTCAAGTGTTTATGCACAGTTAAATTACTAACCAACGCCCAACGCAGGACGGGACCTTTTTTTTAAAGAATGATAATATCCAAAAGACCCGTGTGTAGTGTATGATTATTATAGTAAACTTATTATATTTCGTGATCTAAGAAAGATAACTTTCATTTATTTAATTGTGATTTGTCTCCCTTGTACTCAACCGGAAGTTGATGTTATAAATAAAAGTATGGCTGATTAGTTTGTGTTACATGTGGTTAAATCCGATAATAACTTTGTATGGGACACTACATCTGGCGACGAGGATAAACCAAAGGATAAACCAGAGTCGAGCAATGGCAGATGCGAAACCTATCTTGACAGATGTGAGTAGGATTGACAAGTTTGACCCACATGGAGATGTGAATTCGGTAGGAATCCGTTGGACACGTTGGGCGCGTGCATTTGAGCTCTTTGCAAGCGGAAAGGGAATAGAAGACCCAGCGCAAAAGAAAGCTTTAATGTTACATGAGGCAGGGATGGACGTACAGGATATTTTCTACACGCTAGAAGTCCCCAAACCGGGTGATGGAGAAAACGTGTATGGCGTGGCGTTGGCGACATTGAATAAACACTTTACTCCTCAGGTAAATCACACGTTTGAAAGATCACAATTTCGCGCTATGGCACAAACAGCGACAGAAACTGTTGAACAATTTATCACTAGACTGAGACAGAAAGCGGTGTATTGTAACTTTACGAATATTGATGAAAGTATACGTGATCAAGTGATAGAGAAGTGTTCTTCTCAAAGACTGAGACGGAAATTGTTAGAGAAAAATAATGTGACACTGAAACAACTGAGAGAAACAGCACAGAGTTTGGAAGCAGCTGACAAAAGAGCAGGGACTATGGAACACAAACCAGAACAAGAAACCATGATAAACAAAGTGAGTAGATACAAACATAAACATGACTTTAAGCAACAGGATAAACAAGACAAAAAGTGTTTTGCTTGTGGTAAATATGGTCACATTCGCACGGATCCGAAATGTCCAGCACGAGGACAGAAGTGTCGGAAATGTCACATGGAAGGACATTATGAAGCATGCTGCAAGACCAAGTCAAAGACAAAGTGGCACAAAACCAAGAGGGCAGCAGTCCGAAATATTGAAACTTCAGAAGTAGAACAAGGTCAGGAGTCTGAGAGAACTTATGTGTTTACTATTCGGAACCAGGATTGTTCAAAGAATGACTTTAGTGTTAATATTGGCGGTATTGATACAAAAGTGATCATCGACTCAGGAGCTTCAGTGAATGTTATTGACAGACACTTATGGGAACAACTCAAGGAACAAAAAGTGAAATGTCACAGACAGGCGAAAGCATCGACAAAGAAACTGTATCCCTATGGTAGTAACAAACCACTGACTGTCGCAGGAAGTTTTGTTGCTGATGTGTGTACTCGAGACCGGGGTGTGTCAGCCGAGTTCTATGTTGTAGAGGAAAGTGGACAAGCTCTCCTAGGCTATGATACTTCTACCCAGCTTGGAGTGCTACAGATTCAAGAGACAAGTACTGTTGCACCAGTGCACACTGTGAATAGCACGGATATTAAAACAGAGATACTAGGGAAATTTCCGAAAGTGTTCACAGGACTTGGAAAACTGAGAGACTTCCAACTTAAAATTCCAATTGATGAGTCTGTACATCCTGTAAGTCAGTCCGTACGTAGAGTACCGTACCATTTACGCAGTAAGCTAGACCTGAAACTGGATGAACTTGAGAAGATGGATGTTATCGAGAGAGTCAAAGGGCCAAGTCAATGGGTATCACCTATTGTGGTTGTACCAAAGAAGAATTCAGATATTCGCATATATGTGTCGTCATGCATAGAGCTAACGAGGCAGTCGTTCGTGAGAGATACCAAATTCCTACAGTCGACGAAATTTTGCAGGACTTGAATCAGAGCAAAGTTTACAGTAAACTAGATATCAAGTGGGCCTATCATCAGTTAGAGCTTACCCCAGACTCTAGAGAAATAACTACCTTTATGACACCAAGAGGACTTTATCGATACAAACGTTTGTTGTTTGGAGTGAGCTGTGCTCCTGAAATGTATAATAAAATCATTCAACAGACATTAGGAGACTTACCTGGTGTGAATGCAATATACGATGATGTTGTGGTCCATGGATCAACGGAACAAGAGCATCGACGTAACCTAGAATCAGTGTTGAAACGTTTAGAAGACTCAGGAATGACTTTGAACATTGAGAAGTGTCAATTCAATATGGAGAAGATCGATTTCATGGGATACGTACTCTCTGAACATGGTATCGGAATAGCAGACAGCAAAGTTCAGGCTATTAGGAGTGCCAGGACACCACAGTCAGTATCTGAGGTGCGAAGCTTCTTGGGACTAGTCAATTTCGCAGGCAGGTTCATACCAAACCTGTCCACTGTAGCAGAACCCTTAAACAGACTTTTGCGTAAAGACCAGTCATTTGCATGGGGACGAGAGCAAAACGAAGCATTTGACAAACTTAAAGACTGTTTAGCTAATGTGTCAACTTTAGCCTACTTTGATGTGAATGCCAAAACACAAGTTATTGCAGATGCAAGTCCAGTCGGCTTAGGCGCTGTATTAGTCCAGGAACAACACGGGAAACCTAAGATTATCTCCTATGCGAGTAGATCCTTAACAGACGTCGAACGCAGATACGCACAAACCGAGAAGGAAGCACTCAGCTTAGTGTGGGCATGTGAGCGGTTTCACATGTACCTGATGGGGAAGACTTTTGAGCTGTTAACGGATCATAAGCCACTTGAATTTATTTTCTCGCCCAAATCGAAACCATGTGCACGAGTAGAAAGATGGTTATTAAGGATGCAGAACTACAGTTACACAGTTCGTCATATTCCGGGTAAATCAAACATAGCTGATTCATTGTCAAGGATGTTGTCAACAGATACACCAAATCCGAAGACGAGTGATACTGAGGAATACTTACGCTTTGTGATTGAGGAAGCTGTTCCAATCGCAATGACCGTATCTGAGCTTGAGAGAGCATCATTGGAGGATGAGGATCTCAAGAACTTGAGAGAATGCTTGATAACAGGGAAATGGTATCAGTTACAGAACAAAGACTTTTTGACAGTAAAATCAGAATTGTGTACTGTTGGACATCTGATACTACGAGGGACAAGGATTGTCATACCTAAGTCATTACGCGACCAAGTACTGGCACTAGGTCATGAGGGACATCCTGGAATTGTTATCATGAAGCAGCGATTGCGATCCAAAGTTTGGTGGCCTAAAATGGACCAAGACATTGAACAGTGGAACAAAGCTTGTTATGGATGTCAGCTAGTATCACAACCTGAAAAAGTGGAACCTATGCACAGAACAGAACTACCATCACGACCATGGGAACATTTAGCAGCTGATTTCCTTGGACCGTTACCATCGGGAGACTACATTTTTACTATCGTCGATTATTATTCACGATGGATTGATCTGGCTGTGATGAGATCTACAACGGCGGAGAAAATGGTCGAAGTGTTGACAAAGATCTTCAGTACACATGGATTACCTGTTTCTATTACAACAGACAACGGACCACAATTCGTCAGCGAATATTTCAAAACATACTGTGAAATAAATGGAATAGTCCATAGGAAGACCACCCCATTGTGGCCACAGGCCAATGGAGAAATTGAACGTCAAAACAGATCAATATTGAAGAGACTGAAGATTGCACAAGCAGAGAAGAAAGACTGGAAATCGGAACTTCAGACTTATTTGCTGATGTATCGCTCATCACCACATACCACAACAGGAGTGAGTCCGGCCGAGTTGTTGTTCTGCCGAGTTATTCGTACAAAACTACCAGATATCCACACGTATCGTGAGACAGATTACCGAGTTAGAGATAGAGATGCGGAGAAGAAGGCAAAAGGGAAGATGTATTCTGATGCTAAGAGAGGAGCTACACTTAGCGACATAAAACCTGGTGATCTTGCTTTGATGAAGAAGAACAAGGAAAACAAGTTATCTACGACATTTCATAATGATCCATTCAAAGTTGTCGAGAAAAATGGAAATAGTGTTGTGTTAGAATCCATGGAGGGAGTTCATTACAAAAGAAATGTGTCTCATTTGAAAAAGTTTGTGAATTCCAAGGAATCTGTGAATGTGTCAAGTGAAAATGTGAATGAAAATGTGTTAAGTGAAAATTCCAATGGAAATGAAGATTTGTGTTCAGGAAATTCAGTTCCTAATCAAGTTGCGAGTGATAAAAGTGTGATTTCAGATGATGTCCAGGAAGCGTCATCAGGAAACTCATCAGCAGAGGAATCCGACAGCAATGTTCAAGATCCGACGACAAGTTCACCGCAATTAGCCCGACCAGTTCGTCAACGCTCTTTGCCGGTGAAATTCAAGGACTATGTAATGAAATAACATGTTCTGTTTAAACCTTTGTTCACATATTTTTCAATGATTTATAAACACTGTAATGATTCATTGACTGTGTTAAAGTTAATTGCTAAATAGATTTGTCATTTACAATTTATTTGAAATAATTGATATTTGTTTAAATTAAAAGGGGGAGGATTGTAGTGTATGATTATTATAGTAAACTTATTATATTTCGTGATCTAAGAAAGATAACTTTCATTTATTTAATTGTGATTTGTCTCCCTTGTACTCAACCGGAAGTTGATGTTATAAATAAAAGTATGGCTGATTAGTTTGTGTTACATGTGGTTAAATCCGATAATAACTTTGTATGGGACACTACACCGTGACATTTACTTGCTAAACTTAAATGCTAGAGACTTAGGTAGGGAACTGACACTATCCGTGTTAAACAGGTTTTTGATGCTGCACTGGGAAAGAGGCTGAATTTAATCTACAGGTTTCAAGAGTGGAAAGGCCAATCAAACATTTAGGGTCCATTTTGTACCTGGTATGTTGTAGAACTCTTAAGATCGTATAATAATATATACGAAAACTTTAGATGTGCATATTTGAAGGAACTGTTAACATTCTACTCCATTTTATGTTGTGCCGTTAGACACGGGGGGGGGGGGGGGGTTCAATTTTAATAAAAGTAAATAAAAAAAGTTTAGATTGCATTTTTAATTGTATGTATCGTGCAACACCAGTAATTAAATAAAAGCAAAGCTATTTTACGACACTATTTCATTTTACTTAGCAACTGCTCTGAGTTATATGTATTGACTATTTACATGTATATGGATAGTCAACATGTACTTGCATTGATATTCTTATGCTGTTAATTCTTTATTTTTTTTTTTTTTTTGCAATTGTTGAATTTTTTATTAATTAATACTTCAGTTTTATTTAATCAAAATCAAAATCCATTTGGTGCTTACCGCATTTGATACATAACTTTTAGAGTTCAATACAAACCTAGAAACCTCATTTCTAACATGATTATTTTATGCGTAAAATAAGTACCACATCTATAGAAATAATATACAATTACAATTTAATTAATTATGATTAATAGTTTTCAATAAATTGCCAATCCAACTTTTTTCAGCATCATACAGTGTGAATTTCGTAAAGATTTGAGTTCAAAATATGCAAAATGTGGATGCATCGGAATTCTTGTCATAAAAAATATCTTGAACCTTAAATTTAAAAAATCTTCGAATTCATTATTTAAGTCTTATGTATTTCCGACATAAATAAACAATTTTTGATCATTTATATTCAGAAACATGCATAGAAACTTGATTTAAATAGACCTACCCTCAATTTTTCTTTAACTTACAGCCATTTTTTTATCCATAAATCACGTGACTTAGATGATCGATGTTGAAAAACAAATATCGAAATCATGAACGGGAATGATTATATTTATATAAAATCACATTTTAAAGTGATTTTATCGTAGGCCGGAAAATGGCCTTATAGAGAATGAACCTTCATAAGTCTACTGTCACAGGCACATTTTTTTTCTTAAATCAGAGGGAATATCAAGAATTAATTTTTAACATTTTGTTCAAAGTCTGCAACGGCATGGTCTTTTCCTGAATCACTCTTGATGGTTTTGTACTTGTAGTTGCAGGAAAATCTTTTCATGTTGGATTTTGGCAGTGTCTTTTCCATGAAGTAGATAATTTAATGAGAAATGCAATATTTCCAAAACTTGAATACCTTTTATAAAAGGTTTATACGTATATTGTCAAATTTTGCTGTAAAGTGTGAACTCTCACAAGTTTGTAAGTTTGTATCCTGTCGTGTATATTCTAAAATTTCCACATCTGGCGTAATTGTCTAGGTTAAAATACACTGTTAATGAGGTTCAGGAGCAATTAAAACCACTGTAATGACTGGTAGCACAGTTGACACCTTGTTGATTACCTGTTATCAGCGACAATAAACAGATATCCTACCGATAAACATTGCAACAGCCATGTCTTCTGCACACGGAAATACTGTATTATTCAAAGCGAATCGGTAAAAAGTCTGGATTTTCGAAAATCGGTAGATATGGGGTGAAAAAAATAAATCGGTAGACAAGCGGTGGACAGGGTTCAAAATCGGTAGACTCCCGAAAAAATCGGGAAAGTTGGCATGTATGAATGTCTAACCTGTTGAGATGAAGATGTTAAAAAAGAAAAGCCTAATAGTGAATTAATATTGATAGTATGTCAAGAAATGCAAATGAATCATCAGCTTGAATTATCAGTTTTTTTTCACAATTATTGACCTGAGTAGGTCAATGTATAGCGAATAATACATACTCTTTTCCATATCACATCCTAGCCCGAGACACCAATATCAGGCAGAGGGACAGAGGCCCTAGGGCTGATATTGGTCGAAGGTCTGATACAGGGTGTGATGTGGAAAAGGGTATGTTTTATTATGTTTATTACAAACTTGGTAATAAAATACAGAACACTTCAAGTTGAGAAGATCAAGAAAATAAGTAAATAATCATGCACAATAAAACTACTTACATACATGTACACAGTATTGTCTTACTGAACAGATTTAGCTGTCATTAGGTCAAAATTGCAAATAATAACATGCTTCTTATATCTGTATATACAGGTAACTCTTAATGGCTTGAACTTCGATTTCTCGGAAGTTCTTGATCGCTTGAAGTGAGTCTCCGGTCCCGATTTTTTACACTATATAACTAAGCAAATTTGCACTTGAGTTCTCGAACTCCTGATCTCTTGAAACCCTTGATCCCTCGAAGTCAAAATGCAGTCCCGCTGTGCTGTGAATTTTACCCTTGATATCTCGAAGTGGCTGTGTGTATACCAAGTTATAATGTTCAAACTTTTGCCATAACGGTATATCTGTGTGTCTGTCTGAGTGTCTGTTGTCAACTTAAACCTTCACCATAACTTGAGAACTATACCAGATAGTGGCTTCATATTTAGTATGCATACTCCACTAATGAAGTGCTTTCAAATGGCAACAAGGACAATGATTATGTGATCTTGACTGTGACCTATATGCTAAAAAAAATTGCATTTTCGAACTTTGTTGCTGTGTTTCACAAGTGCATTTTGTTTTTAGCTCTACTGGTCAGAGACCAGAAGAGCTTATGCGATAGTACATGTAATGTGTCCGGCGTCCGTCCGTCTGTCTAGCTGTCCGTCTGTCTGCAAACACTACTCCTCCTTAAATGCTACTCCTCCTACCGTCTGATTTCAATATAACTTGGCACACAAGCAGACTATACTAAGATACATAATTTTGTGCATCAGTTTTTGATAAGTACAAACCAGTAGCGCTACAGTCTCGACAGAGACTTCTGGTTATTTTTTCTTCCATCCCGGTTGTTGCTAATGCTATTACATAATTAGTTTAAATTAGAATGCAATAGTACCTGGACATAATTTATCATTTCAGAGAGAAGAAAACTATGTGACTTTAAAAGAAAACCAGTGAGATAAAATCATAGAAAATGTATGATGATTCAGGATGTGGTCATTTGGTAAGTGGTAATTCATTCATGATTAGTATGTATATGACAATTGCCTGAAAAAAAAAAAAGGTTCTAAATTTTATTTAAATACTGAACTGTGGTATATCAGCTGTGAGCTACAAGAAGTTTTATGTAAAAGCTAGGGATGAAACAATTTGCCCCCTCCATGTTATGTGTGTATTGCTATGATTGGCATACAATCAGTTCTCTAATACATACACTCCAATAAAACTTTGTCATCTTGAACCTGAATTGAACAGGAAAAAACTCTGAGATCTCTCCAAAAATTGGAATGAAAAAAAGGAAATGCTTATTAACTGATTTCTTGCTGGTCAGTATTTTGATTACTTAAAGGAAGCTCTAAAAACTGCACACTAAAGAGTTCTACTTTAATATCAGGTAGTTTTATGAAATAAGAGTGATCTGCCCATAGATTAAGATTATGAAAAATGTTATTTTACAGTCAGTTAGATTATTTTTAATAGATTAAATTATTTTTAGCATTATTTAAAATAAAAAAAAAAATAGGAAATTAATTATTTTCATAAATTTTTCCAATGTAAGTAAACATCAATGATTTCTGCTTACAGATAGTCCATTGTCTTTGAAAATTTCTTGGGGAAATGAGGCACATACCATATGTTCTAAATGAATAAAAAAGGCTCCTTATGCATATATTCATATGAAATATGATAGATTTTTTTCTCTCCAAGGAATAATTTCTGCAAGTCACTAAGTTTTTAGAGTTTCCTTTATTTCATAGATATTTAATGAAATTATTTGAAGTATTAAATTTTGGTTAATTTTATGATACTAAAAAGTTATATGGATGAAAAAACAGTATGCGTGTATGACAATAGGGCTTAAATTTTTAATGTCTCTTAATTTTTCAGTGACATTAAAAAAGGAATTGTCATCACCAATAGACGAATTTCACTTTCCTAAGAGTTTTCTCCAATTGTCGGCGTATCGCTCATTTTTAGCTCTACTGGTCAGAGACCAGAAGAGCTTATGCGATAGTAATGCGTCCGGCGTCCGTCCGTCTGTCCGTCTGTCTGTCCGTCTGTCTGTAAACAATTTTTCAAAATGCTACTCCTCCTACAGTTTTGGTCTAATTTCAATATAACTTGGCACACAAGTAGACTACACTAAGATACATAATTTTGTGTATCGGTTTTTGATTTCGATGAACGGTGTTGCCGTGGTTACTAAAAATAGAAATTTCTGTGAAATTCTTTCAAAATGCTACTCCTCCTACAGTTTTGGTCTGATTTCAGTATAACTTGGCACACAAGTAGACTACACTAAGATACATAATTCTGTGTATCGGTTTTTGATTTCGATGAACAGTGTTGCCGTGGTTACTAAAAATAGAAATTTCTGTAAAATTCTTTCAAAATGCTACTCCTCCTACAGTTTTGGTCTGATTTCAGTATAACTTAGCACACAAGTAGACTACACTAAGATACATAATTCTGTGTATCGGTTTTTGATTTCGATGAATGGTGTTGCCATGGTTACTAAAAATAGAAATTTCTGTGAAATTCTTTCAAAATGCTACTCCTCCTACAATTTTGGTTTGATTTCAGTATAACTTGGCACACAAGTAGACTACACTAAGATACATAATTCTGTGTATCGGTTTATGATTTCGATGAACGATGTTGCCGTGGTTACTAAAAATAGAAATTTCTGTGAAATTCTTTCAAAATGCTACTCCTCCTACAGTTTTGATCTGATTTCAATATAACTTGGCAAACAGGTAGAATACACTAAGATACATAATTCTGTGTATCGGTTTTTGATTTCGATGAACGGTGTTGCCGTGGTTACTAAAAATAGAAATTTCTGTGAAATTCTTTCAAAATGCTACTCCTCCTACAGTTTTGGTCTGATTTCAGTATAACTTGGCACACAAGTAGACTACACTAAGATACATAATTCTATGTATCGGTTTATGATTTCGATGAACGATGTTGCCGTGGTTACTAAAAATAGAAATGTCTGTAAAATTGTTTCAAAATGCTACTCCTCCTACAGTTTTGGTCTGATTTCAATATAACTTGGCACACAAGTAGACTACACTAAGATACATAATTCTGTATATCGAATTTTAATTTTGATGAACGGTGTTGCCGTGGTTACTAAAAATAGAAATGTCTGTAAAATTCTTTCAAAATGCTACTCCTCCTACAATTTTGGTTTGATTTCAGTATAACTTGGCACAGAAGTAGACTACACTAAGATACATAATTCTGTGTATCGGTTTTTGATTTCGATGAACGGTGTTGCCATGGTTACTAAAAATAGAAATTTCTGTGAAATTCCTTTAAAACGCTACTCCTTCTACAGTTTTGGTCTGATTTCAATATAACTTGGCACACAAGTAGACTACACTAAGATACATAATTCTGTGTATCGGTTTATGATTTCGATGAACGATGTTGCCGTGGTTACTAAAAATAGAAATTTCTGTGAAATTCTTTCAAAATGCTACCCCTCCTACAGTTTTGATCTGATTTCAGTATAAGTTGGCAAACAGGTAGAATACACTAAGATACATAATTCTGTGTATCGGTTTTTGATTTCGATGAACGGTGTTGCCGTGGTTACTAAAAATAGAAATTTCTGTGAAATTCTTTCAAAATGCTACTCCTCCTACAGTTTTGGTCTGATTTCAGTATAACTTGGCACACAAGTAGACTACACTAAGATACATAATTCTATATATCGGTTTATGATTTCGATGAACGATGTTGCCGTGGTTACTAAAAATAGAAATGTCTGTAAAATTGTTTCAAAATGCTACTCCTCCTACAGTTTTGGTCTGATTTCAGTATAACTTGGCACACAAGTAGACTACACTAAGATACATAATTCTATGTATCGGTTTATGATTTCGATGAACGATGTTGCCGTGGTTACTAAAAATAGAAATGTCTGTAAAATTGTTTCAAAATGCTACTCCTCCTACAGTTTTGGTCTGATTTCAATATAACTTGGCACACAAGTAGACTACACTAAGATACATAATTCTGTATATCGAATTTTAATTTTGATGAACGGTGTTGCCGTGGTTACTAAAAATAGAAATGTCTGTAAAATTCTTTCAAAATGCTACTCCTCCTACAATTTTGGTCTGATTTCAGTATAACTTGGCACAGAAGTAGACTACACTAAGATACATAATTCTGTGTATCGGTTTTTGATTTCGATGAATGGTGTTGCCATGGTTACTAAAAATAGAAATTTCTGTGAAATTCTTTCAAAATGCTACTCCTCCTACAATTTTGGTTTGATTTCAGTATAACTTGGCACACAAGTAGACTACACTAAGATACATAATTCTGTGTATCGGTTTATGATTTCGATGAACGATGTTGCCGTGGTTACTAAAAATAGAAATTTCTGTGAAATTCTTTCAAAATGCTACTCCTCCTACAGTTTTGATCTGATTTCAGTATAAGTTGGCAAACAGGTAGAATACACTAAGATACATAATTCTGTGTATCGGTTTTTGATTTCGATGAACGGTGTTGCCGTGGTTACTAAAAATAGAAATTTCTGTGAAATTCTTTCAAAATGCTACTCCTCCTACAGTTTTGGTCTGATTTCAGTATAACTTGGCACACAAGTAGACTACACTAAGATACATAATTCTATATATCGGTTTATGATTTCGATGAACGATGTTGCCGTGGTTACTAAAAATAGAAATGTCTGTAAAATTGTTTCAAAATGCTACTCCTCCTACAGTTTTGGTCTGATTTCAATATAACTTGGCACACAAGTAGACTACACTAAGATACATAATTCTGTATATCGAATTTTAATTTTGATGAACGGTGTTGCCATGGTTACTAAAAATAGAAATGTCTGTAAAATTCTTTCAAAATGCTACTCCTCCTACAATTTTGGTTTGATTTCAGTATAACTTGGCACAGAAGTAGACTACACTAAGATACATAATTCTATGTGTCGGTTTTTGATTTCGATGAACGGTGTTGCCGTGGTTACTAAAAATAGAAATTTCTGTGAAATTCTTTCAAAATGCTACTCCTCCTACAGTTTTGATCTGATTTCAGCATAAGTTTGCAAACAGGTAGAATATACACTAAGATACATAATTCTGTGTATCGGTTTTTGATTTCGATGAACGGTGTTGCCGTGGTTACTAAAAATAGAAATGTCTAAAATTGTTTCAAAATGCTACTCCTCCTACAGTTTTGGTCTGATTTCAGTATAACTTGGCACACAAGTAGACTACACTAAGATACATAATTCTGTATATCGGTTTATGATTTCGATGAACGATGTTGCCGTGGTTACTAAAAATAGAAATGTCTGTAAAATTGTTTCAAAATGCTACTCCTCCTACAGTTTTGGTCTGATTTCAATATAACTTGGCACACAAGTAGACTACACTAAGATACATAATTCTGTGTATCTAATTTTAATTTTGATGAACGGTGTTGCCGTGGTTACTAAAAATAGAAATGTCTAAAATTGTTTCAAAATGCTACTCCTCCTACAGTTTTGGTCTGATTTCAGTATAACTTGGCACACAAGTAGACTACACTAAGAACATAAAGATACTTTATCAACGATCATTATTCTATTTAATGCTGTTTATAAAGTCTCAAATCCCAGCTGCTTCAGTACTTTCTCTTCCTTTGCTATAAGTTCAAACCAGTAGAGCTTCAGTCTCGACAGAGACTTCTGGTTCCACTTTGTCCTTTGTAAGTTACTTGTTAATATTTTCAATCTTCAAAAATATTGGACAATTACGATCTGTATCTGTATTGCCAGAGTAGGGGGGCAACATGAAAATCATAATGAATATGTTCATACAGATTTTATTTCTAAGATATTGTCCCTCAAAGTTGATACGGTTAAAGAGGGAAAACAACGTCTTAAGCCGGTTGACCCCAGATCGACCCTGCAAAGGGGAATAACTTTTGTAAATGTGAAAGTCCTTTATGGTATATCATATAGATCTAAAACTGACTGAATTTTGATCAGCCAATTCATGAACATGATGAATGGATGTAAATAATGTTGGTCAATATATGCAAAAAAAAAAAAAAATTAAATTACTTGTTTATACATACATTTATGGTATCTCTCCCATTGAAGTTTATAAACTTGTTATTTATTTCTTAAATAAACTGAGCATACATGCAATACCGGTATAAAATTACTCATAAGATACATGTATATTTAAACCATGATAAAATCATAGGTGTCCAATGCAGCATATGATAAATCATTAACATACAAGTACATGTGTATATATACTGTAATACATATATATTGCATTATTTTTAGGTCCTGTTATGTGGATGCCCTAAGACAGTGTCTACCCATCACTCCATCTGATATCACTTGTTCTGTGCATATTTCTCTCTCAAACTTAAACTACAGAGAGCCTGTGGATAGAGGATGAAGAGTGACCTTGGACTAATTTTCTAGGTCAAAGGTCAGTATCAAAATCTACTGTATATCTTTATTTAAAATCGTAGTCCAGAGTATATTTCTCCCCTGGTGTAATCTAGCTTTTGTGCAATGGGGTGGAGGGTCTGCAATGATCTTCAACCAATTTCTAGGTCAAATATAAAAATTAAAAAAAAAATCTCTCCCTAATATTTTTGTTATTATAAAGGGTATGTTTTCTATTAAACTAATCAAACTTAAAGCAGGGTTCTTAGTATGAGATACATGTAGTAATATATTCTCAATGACATAATAAGGCTGAAAACATTATTTATATTATGTTTTTTTTTTTCACTTATCATAAAGCATTAAATATTAGAGATACATTAAGTG